AACCTATTGATTCAATAAGTCTAAGGGCCAAACTTTGTAAATCTTTTAGTCTCATAAAACTAAAGGTCGGGCCATATTTTTTCCAACCTTCTTAAAAAGTTGAGAATCAAATATAGGTTCAACAAACCTAAGGGTCGAACCTTTAAGAATCTTTTATGCTTGCAAAACTAAGGATTAAGCAACTTAAACCAATTTAAACGATTGAAAGAAAGAAAAAAAGGATAGTGTTGAACATAAATGCTAAAAGTTCAGAGATATTACAATAAATTTATTATGTGAAACTCACACAACAAATTTGTTGGGAGGCAATTTATTGACTTAAATAAAAAAATATATAATAAAAAATTTTTAAAGCAACAATCGCCTCTACCGGCCCCACTTCGCCAAAAAATACACCTCTTCAAAGCCATAACACCCGGTCGATAGTTCAGTCAATAAAAAGAAAAGAAAGGAACGGAGAAAGGAACTTATGCTCGTTCACTTCGCTCCTCCGACTCCAACATTGTTGTTTGACTTCATTGCTTCATCGGAGGAGTCTATGGTTCACCCTTCATCTTCTCTTTTCGTCGTTCTTATTCGGCTCCGTTGCTTTGCCAGAGGTGCAGAGATTGCACGTGCCGCCCGTTTTTTTTTTTTTGCGTTAACAAGTTAAAATGATTAATTCTTTTTTTTTTTTTGGGAGAAATTGGGGCCAAAGCCCATATATTAAGATAAAAAGTTACAGGTAAAAATGATTACAAAAAGAACAAAAAAAACACCCTTCATAAGAAAAACACAAAAACTAATGAAGGACCCAAAAAACCTCAACTATACCACCCCAATGATAAAACAAAAACCAGTAACAATCTGATGCACTAAAAGAGCTGAGGGAACCGTTTGAATGTAGAAAGAAGCAGAAGGACCCCAACTGAAGACAAGCAGGCAGAATCTGGAGCAAACGTCCCCAAGAAGGAAGGACATAATCTAATCCCATAAGCCCAAATAAATGACCTGCAAAACAAAAGGAGCCAAACCTGGCAGAACAGGTAGAGAGTAAAGGAATCCAAGATCTCAAAAGGGCTCCAACAAGAATTAACCAGGACTCAGAGAGAGATAACCCCTGGTTGCCCGAAGACCATCCAAGGGGAGGCAAGCAGCACACGGCGAAAGGAGCTTCATCATCGTCCTGCCAATCACGACCAAAAGGCAGCAGATCGAAAGGTAGAGGCACTGTTCAAAATTCCCGCAACTAAATGCCCTGAAGTCAGTCCAGCAATAACAACCATCCAGCACCTCCAGCAAAAGAAACCAGCAGAGAAAGCCTAGAGTCCCAGAAGTAGCCCATGATGCAGCCAAAAGAATCCATGCTCTAAAGCGAGCCAAAAACCGGATTTGCAACCAAAAACAGTAATAAACATCTCCATCCATCACAAAAGTAAAAGTTTGAAAAAATTCCTCCAAGACTCAACCCAAAATGTGAGGAAACTTCTCTTTGAGGGCATCAAACCCATTCCAATTAGTAACTTTAGCACGAACAGCATAGGTAACATCAAGACTCACCTCAGCAGGTGATCTCCAAACATTTGCAAATCTGCGCTTGTTTCTTTCCCTCCTGGTATAATAAATCAAAGTGGCAACCGTAAAATAACAGAAAAACTTATCCCTCCTACTATATTCTTGCATATTATCAAATAGATTGTAGACCTGCAATAGATAAGGCCTAAGATAGAACCTTTTGGTATCAGGGAGCAAAGTATTAAGAATGGAGAAGGAGAAGTCACATTCAAAGAAAATGTGATGATGATTTTCCAAAAAATTCATGCAAAAAGAGCAGTGCCCCGGCACCTGAATGCCACGGGAAAGCAAATTATCAGCAGTTTTCAACTTTCCCCTAATAGCCATCCAAGCATAGGATGCATATCTCAAAGCGTGACCTTTATGCCAGATAAAATTAAACCAAGACACATTCTCATTAGCTTCATGAAAAGCAGCCAAAACATTCATAGAGGGGGGAAAAGGAGAGAGAGAGGCTTCCCAGGTAATCACGGGATGGTCTTCAAAAATTTCAATGCTATTAATATCAGTACTAATACCCTTAGGGAGCTCAACAGGTAACATCCACACCCCATCCTGAATAAACCTTTTAACCGGCAAATGAGATATTCTGGTAAAATAGTAGAGGTCAGCTAATGCTTTCTTCTTACACCAAGGATCCCAAAGGAATGATAAGTTGCAGTTTTTGTTAACCCAGAGAGAAATAGATGGTAGAATAGAGGCAGCCACCTTGCAGATCAACTTCCAGAACTTAGAGGCATGGTGAGGTGGAATTTTCCACGGTGATTCAAATTTCTTCATGTACCAATTGCCAATTAAAGTGTTGTTGTTAAGCATCCTGAAGATAAAGGAGGTAGCCATTTTATGGTAGAGGAAGTCAAAAGAAGGCAGACCTAATCCCCCCTTATATTTGGGAAGAATAACAGACTTCCAAGAAATTAAGTGGAGCTTTTTATCTGAAATGTTTCCAAAAAATAAGAATTTGGAACAAAGTTTAGAAATCAATTTCTGACAAGCTTTGGGAATAACAGCTCCACGAATCCAATAGGCAATAGTGTTGGCGATTGTGAACTTGAGAAATTGTAATCTACCTGCAAAAGAAAGAAATTTAACTTTCCAACCCGCAAGTAGAGTAGAGATTCTACTCAGTAGGGGTTGGAAGTGAGAATAATTCAGTCTGGATGTAGAGATGGGAATGCCAAGGTAAGTGATAGCCTCCTCCACATGTGAAAAACCAAGACAAGTAGTAACAGACTCAAATGGAATGCAGCCTCTAGAGAAGAGCAGAGAGCTCTTAATGGGGTTGATGTTGAGGCCAGAAGCATTAGCAAATTTTTTAAGAATCTCCTTAAGAGAGGAAGCATTCTCCAATGTGGCAAGCCCAAAAACTAAGAGATCATCAGCATACATGAGATGGTTAACATTAGTATCATTTAAATTAAGGCCAAGAAAACCATCAGGAGCATCAAGGCAAGTGGATAGAGCATCCATGACAATGCAGAAAAGTAGAGGAGAGAGGGGGCACCCCTGCCTCAAACCAGAATAAGAATTGAAAAAACCCTCCAAGGCCCCATTTAGGCAAATAGAGAAATGAACATCCATAATGCACCCTTTAATCTAGTTAATAAACATATCTGGAAAGCCTTTTTGCCTCATTCTGTTAATAAGAAAGGTGCGAGAGACAGTATCAAAAGCTTTTTTAATGTCCAGCTTGGCACAGAAATATTTATTACTATTCTTGAATTCCCTCAGAACTTCAAAAGCAAGAATAACATTATCAGTTGAGCATCTCTTAGCAATGAACCCCGACTGGCTATCATGAATAATCAGTGGAAGAATAGGTTTAAGCCTATTAGCAAGAATTTTAGCCACAATTTTGTAGAACACATTACATAAGGATATAGGTCTATAGTCTGAAATGGAGGAAGAGTGAGAACCCTTAGGAATAAGAGTAATCGCTGTGGCTTTAGCACCTCGAGGCATGACACCAGTGGAAAAGAAATGCTTGACAGCCCTGCAAACATGGTATCCAGTAATATGCCAAGTCTTTTGGTAGAACCCAAAAGAGAACCCATCAGGACCTGGGGCAGAAGTAGAAACCCCATCAAAGACCACTTTTTTAATCTCATCATTGGTCACCAGAGTGACAAGATTAGAGAGTAAATGAGTGGGAATCTTGTTGCCAGAAGGAATGTTATAGCCATCAACCATAGGTGGAGGGGTAGGATTAAAAAGCTCTTTAAAGTGTGAGATAAGAGCCTGGGCTAAATCTTCATGAGACGTGAGGATACCAGTAGGGGTGACAAGTTCATTAATAGTATTCCGGTTCTTCCTGGACCTAATCTTGGCATAAAGGAAGCTAAGATCATCCTCCCCTTGAGAGAGCCAGTGGGCTTTAGCCCTTTGCGAAATCCATGCATACCAGTCAGAATGTAAGGAGGTTAACCTATCATTAGCATCCTTCAAGGTAATGTTTAAAGAGTGGTTTAAAGGATCGGTCTGGATGTCAGAAATGCACCGTTGTTGAATATTTTTCATCTCCAAAATGCCATTGGAAATGAAATGGGAAGAGCTACAGTTTTTTCCACGAATGCCACCTTTAAGCATATTTAAACAATCATAAAGAAAATTGATAGGACTAGCAGAGACCTGTCTATCAAAAGCTTTTAAAACCTCTACCCAAAACCCATCCATATTAGCCCAAAAAGCCTTGTACATAAACCTTGAGAAAGTCCTTTTCAAAGGTTTAGCAAACAGAATAAGGGGTGAATGATCCGAGCCAGAGGGATAATCCACTTTATAGTAAGCGGAAGGAAAAAGATCCAAAAAGCATGATTAACAAGCATCCTATCCAGCTTAATGTGAATAGGATTATCAGTCCTTTGGTTATGCCAGGTAAAAAACAGCCCCACAGAAGCTAGGTCTTGTAAGCCTGAATCAAAAACAAAGGAATTAAGCTCCCCCAAACGATCAGCAGACAGAGGGTTCCCACCGGCTTTATCCCTTTCGAACCGGCAACAGTTAAGGTCACCCATGACAACCCAAGGATGCTCCAACCCCACCGAGAGGGTCAAGAGATCCTCCCAAAGCAATCTCCTTTCAGCCAACTCATTAGCTGCATAAACCACCGACAGATAGATAGGTGGAAGGGAGCCAGCTACCATAATTCCATGAACAACTTGAGAAGAGGTAAAGAGAGGAGAAAACGAAATCTGGGAAGCATCCCATTTGAGCCAAATTCTACCGGGGTTGGAGAAAGAGAAATTATCGTAACTTTCTTCATTGTGAAACAGAGTATGAGAGAAAAGAAACCAAGGATCCTGAGAGACAGAATTGTGAATTTTTGCTTCAAGAATACAAAGCATTTTGAGATTGTAAGAGGCAATGAGGTCTTTACACAACTTGGCTTTGGTCGGGTTATTAAACCCTCTAACGTTCCAAGCAGCGATAGCGGGCAAGGACATGGGTTATTTGGGTTTTTTGGCCTTTTTGGCCGTTTTTGGCTTGGCTTTTTTGTCAGGGGAAGAGACAGAGTTGGAGGGAGTTTTGGAGTTAGGCTGAGAAGCTTTGAGGGAAGAGGAGGGAGGAAGAACTTCCTCGGAAAAAATAGAGGAAGAATGAACTTCATCTTCTTTAGCCTCTTCCGAATTGTCCAAATTTTCAACAGGAAGAGAGGCGAAGCTATTAGCTAAAACCACTTGCGAGGGACGAAGAAGAAGAAGGGGAAGGGATTGACCCGAAGAGGAAGATTCTTCATGTGGTAAATTCAGATTAGGGAGAGATGTGGTATTGTCAGGAGGAGTAATAAGAGGTTCATTGGCAATTCCAGTAGAGGTAGGTGGCTGATCTGTGGCTGGTTGAGAAGGAGGAATTGACGTGGGCAGGGTTTGGGATGTAGAAGCAGAATTAAAGTTTAGAGGTGGGTTAACCGGAAAATTAACCTTGGGCCTAGAAGTGGATTTTTACCTCTAGCAGTGGGAGCCCGACTCGTGCTCCTGTCCCTAAAAGCAGGTTTTGGAGGAAGAGAAGGCTTGGGTGAAGGGTTAGATGGACAAAGGGCATAAGGATGGATTATAGAACCGCAGCCATCGCATTTAGACGGTTTCCAATCATAGACAACTTTGAGAACCAAATCATCACCATCAATTTCCAAAGGAATATCGTCAGGCAAAACCGAGTTTTTGTCAACTTGAACACAAACTCTCGCAAAAGTAAGACGAGTTCTTTTTGCGGTAAGAGAATCCACATAGAGAGGAATACCAATGTAACTGGCAATTTTCGAGATACCTGAAGGTGTCCAGAGAGCAAGGGGGAGATTGAGAATCTTAATCCACAGAGGGATAGAGGCAGCTTCGTCTCGCTTTGGTTGGAACTTCGGATTCCATTTCTGAAGGAAGAAAGGTTTGCCGAGGAGAAACCAAGGTCCTCCCGACCAGATCATATCAAAATCTTCACTGGAAGTGAACTTCAGGAGAAAAAAATCATCAGCAAGAGAGAGAAACGAGAACGAGCCTTTAAGCTTCCACGCCTTGTTCATCGCCGTAAGAAGTCTTTCATAATACGGTCTTTGACCCAAAGAGTAGCCCACAAGGCAAAGATCCCACAAATCTTTACCTTCTGTAAGTTCAGAAGCAGCAAAGGAGAGTTTTTTGGTCGGGTTGACGAAGGACATCGGCCACTCCTCGCGATTAGCAGGAGGAGCTGCAAGATTGCTAGCATAAGAAAGAGCTGGAGGAGCTGGGGGACTGGTGGAAGGAGAAACTCCTAACAAGGAGGCTCTGCCAGGAAGAGGGGGAAAATTTTGCAGATTGCCCGCCATGACGGCCAGATGGCCGAGGGAAGCCGAAGAAGCGCGCCAAACCCTAAAAACCCAGAGCTTCTCTCTCTATCACTATCTTCAATCTCTCTTTAGAGATGTCAAAACTTTTACAAGATCCCCAAAATGATTAATTCTACTTGTATTTATATTTGATTACAAGTGAAACGCTTCCTCGAGACAAGGCATTGATATCATGCAAAAAATATATTATATGGTTGAAATGGAATCCAGCATAAATCTAAGTGTTGGAATTGGGAGTCAAAGTTGATGTTGGTGGCGTGCGTTGATCCTGTAAGTGATAGCGTGTGTTGGCATTATTAGTGATGGAATATGATGAAGCCAATAGGTATTGGAGTAGCCAGTGATAATAGCCAAAATATTATCGGTCGGAGGACTAAACTCTACGGATAATGGTGGTCAAAGGATCATAGTTGACAGGTGACGATTATAATAATAGTAGTCATACGAGGGTTGTTGTACCTCGTGCCATTGATCTTAGATATAGGCGGGATAAAATAAAATTTGAAAAGACCCAACACAGTCAATCTTAGATCATGCTGGGATGGTTTAAATTCGAAGGCTATTTGATGTGGACCTTAGGTCCGGGTAGGAAGAAATTTTGGCAAATGCCGCCAAGATTTTTTCCTCGGTGGGGAGGTGATGTAGGGAGGCTGTTGAAATTTTCTTGAAAATTCTGGACTTAGCAAATTTTTGAAAAAACACGAATCTCTAAGAAAACTTTTGAAATTTGGAGAGCATTTAATTCTCCCGTTGAATTAATTGATGAATTCTAATATTGAGTTGTTCGTTAATCTACTTGATAATTGATTAAACATCTACTAGGTAGATTGATATATTTGACCTTACATTAGAGTTGTAATTATTCAGGTAACATCAATTTATACAAGAAGGCGTTTGGCAACCTTCAGTCGCAAAATTGCCTAAAGAATCTAAGCATATAGTATTACCTAAGTGCAAGTTATGCAATATGGATGAACAACATTAATGTGAACTTATATATAACTTTTTTTTTTTTTTTTGAAAGGAAACATTACATGAAGGAGAAAATTCTTTCGCATTTGGACAACTTCCCTTCCTCAAGTCTCTGAAAAATTTTCTTACATTTCGAAAGTAAAATGGCTTAAAAATATATTTCCTGAGAATGATAAATACTCACTTACTACTTGAAGTTGAAAGAGCTGCTCTCTTTGCTAAAAAGTTTAAAATTATCCATAATGATTATATATAAATTAAGATTGTTGGAAAAACAACTCACATTTTTATGATAAAATTTTCTTAGCAATTTCATCTTTGTAGACATGTTGCAAGAAAAACAATATTTTCACTAATCTAATAAATACACAAACTCTCCAACAATAACTCTACTCAAACAACATAGCGTTCAAACTCAACATATTAAGACTCTCCAACATAACAAAAAGTTGTCAAACTCTCCAAACATAATAGCTCTCAAACTTTCCAATTCAAAAGTACTTTGTTCTCAAAATCTTATACAAAACTTCCTAAAACAAATTAAAGCTCTTCTAAACAAAAAAACTCTACAAGCATTCCAAGATCCTCCCTACACAAGCTCTTACAATTATCTATGAGCTTCCTGAACTGTTGCAAGTACCACGTACCTACAAATAAGTAAAACAAGAATCAGTGCATCATAAATAAATCAAATTAATGCTAGATAATAATAAATTTAGCTACTGCAAGTAGAACAGAGTACTGGAAATAGAGAAAAGCTAAGTACTAAAAAGCTAATAGAGCAACAGTGCTAAGAAAATGGGTAGAGTAGTGGTACTGTAGTAGGAAAAAGTCTACAAGCACACAACAACTAAATCACTGACGCCAGTGTCAAAACACCGAAGTGTCAAAATCATAAATTCAAATCAACTCAAACAAGTACAAAACAAATCTTCAAACATTGTATAAGCAACTACAGTCTATCTAAACAATCAAATTCAAAACAAAATTCCTGGGCAGCCTTGTTTATAAGAACTTAGTTGTAAGACCCACTACCAAGCAACTTTCATAGGAAAGTCATAAACCTGACCTTAGGGGGAAGTTTTAAATAAGAAATTAACCTAACTCCTAACCCCCAATTAAAACCCTCGGCCACTTCTATTAGAAGTCGTAAGTCTTACCTCTGAGGTAAATGTTTAGGTGATAATGCAACCCTAGACCCCTCACTCGAGCATCCTAGCCTATAGGGTTAGGTTGTAAGACCCACCAGCGGGCTACTTCTAAGTGAAGCTATAAGACCCATATTTTAGAAAAATTACTAAATAAATTATAATAACCTTAAAACCCACATAATAAAATTTAAACCTATGGTCATCTTAATCGAAAGGATTAAGTTGTAAGACATGCTTTTTTTTAGGCTACTTCCTGAGGGAAGTCATAAGTCCTACCCAATCAATTAAAACCTATGGGCAACATTGCTGTAGAGTTAGGTTGTAAGAATCATCCTTGGGCAACTCATAAATAGCTAAATAAGCCCCATTCCAAATCAAAATACCTGGGCTACTTTCTACGAAAGCCATAAGTCTCAACCTAAATCTAAATACCCGAGCTACCTCCTAAAGAAGACATAAGACCCACTCCAATCCAAACTCTTGGGTTACTTCTAAATGAAATCATAAATTTCAAACTAAATCAATTTCTTGGTATTCTAATAGATGTATACCCCAAACCCCAAACTAAAATTAAAATCCAAATCTCACCACTTCAGTCTACTTGGGATCCCAAAGATAAGGCAACCCATGGCTGCTAATCAGATTCCCTAGATAATACGGTCAATGATTGTTAGTGTTAGTAGACTGAAATTTATGCTATACCTAGGACGACGGAACCATGGGATCTTGATTGGGTTTACCTCCACTTCCCTTACTATTGAGACTAAAATTATCTAAAATTTATTCATCCTTAATCGAGAGTTCTCTCTTACGTAATAAGAGGGGTAATTAACTATGAGAGTTTGTGCTCATAGAAAATAAGAACCCCAGATCTTTAAACTCTGACACTTCCCTCAGGGAAAATCTAGTTAACTACATTCTAACTTATGGAAAATGAAATCCTACAGCTGAAAATCGGGATTCATGCATTCATTTCATTTTTCTTGAGCCAACAATTTGAATGTAGTTTTGGGATTGATTGATTTAGTTTGAATTATTCACATCAATGCCAATCTAATGGATGATTGAGATTGATTGGATATGATTGAGTTTTGATTGAAGTTTGATTTAGGTCCAGATTGAAGATTAATTAAAGCTTGATTAAAGATTGATTGAGGTTTGGATTAAAGTCTGGAATGAAGATTAATTGAACTTTCATTGAAGTGTGATTGGAGATTGATTGAGGGGCTAGATTGAAGTTTTATTGAAGACTAGATTGAAGTTTGATTGAAGTCTGGATTGAGGTTTGATTGAAGACTAGATTGAGGTTTGATTGAAAATTGGATTAAGATTTCAACTGAAGTCTAGATTAAAGTTAAGACTGAAGACTAAATTGAGGTCTGGATTGAGTTCTAGAGGATTGATAACTGGATAATTGTCAGCCATCATATCAACAGGTAGGAGTCTGGAAACGTCCAAATGACCTAATAAAAAAATGAGGTCAATTGGTACGAGCACCCCATGTTAGCTTACTAAATGCTTGTGGTCGCCGTTGTTAAAGAGTGGGGGCTAGTTGATCTGTTTGTCAGGTCGGTTGCCTATGTGATTCAGGCTGATGTTTCACTCAGATGGTCCGAAATTAAAAGTTTTTGGGATCCTTGAACCTTTTTTTGACATTCCGGACATAATTTTGACACTTTTAGAGCATAATGGAGCCTTTATGGTTAAATTGAAAAACTTTTAAGAGTGTCAGTGAAATGTTTTTGACGTCTTTCACCCCATTAAATAGGTTGGCTTCATGAAACACTCAAATTATAATCTAGGATATTTTACCCAGTTTTCGGACTCGATGGAAGGTCCATGTTAATGTCCGAGAAATGATTGTGCCTCAAAATTTTCCCAAAATTATGATTCATTGCAACTTTCAAGAATGATCAAACACATTTTTGGATTTCACAAGCTATGATATAAAATATGTGGGATAATAAATATGTGATTAAAAAAACTTCTTAGTTCATCATGAAGTTTGAGCCATATCCAAGTTTGAAACTTTTAAAATTAAATTTAGGACCATCTAAACATTAATTTAAGCAAACTTAAACTTAACATGTCAAAGAGATGAACCTAATGACACCAAAATCGGACCAAATCTAGCCCAAATGGATCCAAATCAAGGAAAGTTTATAAGCATAGATTATCTGATCAAATAATATCCAAATATGACACGCTTATAGTCAAATTGAGTGGCTCGATGAGGCAAATTCAACGTGCCAATATTGCTTAGTTTTTACATCATTTGATAACATAAATGATCACAAATTATCTATGATCAAGGCGATCAATATGGGTTATCCGAAGAAGTGCCCAAGATTTTCTCTATATCTTCTCCATATTTACGGGGCACGCCACTCTCAAAAATAAATGAATAGTGCTTCAACTTCCAACATGAAAAAGGGAATTGGGCCATCGTAAGCTTAGATCTTTTGTTGGAGATTGAAGAGAATTCTAAGGCTTTAAGGATCTATAGCTCCACCCATACACCAATGTAGGAGATCTTCCATCAACCAACTGGACAACCGCCCGACCGCACGACTACCGCCATACTTCCACCCAACCACAGTCAAACCATCACTCCATCACCAATAGATGCCAGGCCTCAACCTTACTAGACCACCGCCTAGCTTCCCTTGATAAACCACTCTGATCTCCGTCGCCTGGTGACTACTATCACATCAACCAACGTCACATGTTGACAACTATCCCTGTAACCTCCATCGTTAGCTGATTATAATCCATCTAACCTCTACGGCCCACTGACTATACGGTCCCTCAGGCCTCCATTGCCAACCAACTACGGTCCCTCAAACCTCTATTACC